GTTGGCCCAGACTTGCGGACGCAGTGCTCGAGGTGGTGGACCACGCCGTTTCCTGTCGCCCATGGCGTGGGCGGCGGCGGCGGCACCAACGGTGGCCCAACCTCAGTGCCACTGGCAGCAGCCAGCACACGAATGGAAATCGCACTCTCGGGCGATAGCTGCAAGGTGTCGGCGCCCAAGTGCTCGATGATGGCCGCCGCGCGCAGCTTGGCGAAACCGGTGGGCTCGCAGGGCGACCTCGCGAACTGATTCCACATCGTGCCAGGCGACCCCGCCGAGCATTTTCCGCAGGCGCTGCACGAGGCCACGCCGCGGCCCCGCAACTGGATCAGCGTGTGCTCGGTGATCGCGACGGGGGCCGTGGCCCGAGAGGCAGGCGTAGGCACGTGCCGCTCCGACGGCGCCCATTTATTAAGGTTGAGCGAGCGCTGCGTGGCCTGGCCGATGCGAGGAGACCACGCGCCTGCAGTGCCGCAGCTCCGCGCTGTAGAAGTCCACGTGCACCTGCGAGACTGCGTGCTGCATGGTCCCCTGCTTCACGAACCAGTCCGCCCACGTGTTGCCCGCGTGCAGCAGCGGGCGGAGGCCGCGGTCGAGGCGGGTCTGGATGTCATCGTGCGCGGGGGGCCAGGCGACGTCCAGGCGGTGCTCCCGCAGCCGCAGCTTGCGCCAGATCGTGGCGCGGGCGGCGCTCGCCTGCTCGAGCTCGGGGCCCAAGGAGCGATGGATGTTCCAAGCGGTCGGATCACGTCCGTGGATGCTCCAAGCAGCGAGACTGCCTGCTGGAGCGCGTGGCCTTCGGCGCTACCCGCTGCCTGCAGTGGCCCAGGCAGCGGGCCGTTGGCCGCGTGCACAGGCGCCCCCTGGGCACCGAGCTGGGCAACCGCCCATCCGCAGCGCCGCAACTCAGGGATGTTGCTCGCGAAGCCCGAGCCGTCCGCGAAGACAGCGTTGCCGAGCTCACTGGGGCCCGTGGCGGCCCAGTCGCCCAGGCGGTAGACGGGGGCGCCCCGCGCAGCTGGTGGAACGCGAGGAGGCTTGAGAGGCGGGCATGCGGCATGCTCGCGCCCGTCAGAGTTGGGCGCGCCCCCCCCGCGCGCAGACCCTTGTCCTTCATGTGGGCCCACGCGTCCTGCGGCCGCTCGGGCAAGACAGTGCCCGCCTCCTGGCCCAGCAGACTGGGCTTCGGCAGCCCCTCGCGCTCGTGGGCGCGGTGGCCCGGCGAGCCCGATGGCCTGTCGCAGGCAGAGCAGGTTGGCGGGGGGGCAGGCCGCGCGTCAAACTGCGGCTGCCGCGTCCGCGGCGCGCCCGACCAATGGGCGCGCAGGCTGGTCGCCGCGGGGCCGCCCGAGGCCGCCGCGCCCGCGGCGCCCGCGCAGAGGCGAAGGGCCCGCATCCAGAACTCGCCTGCGCCCTTCAGGTCGCCGAAGTGCCCCATGATCTGCCGGCCTTGCCCGCGAGACGCGCCGTCCTCCAGGTGCCTCTTGAGGTCCACGGGGCTGGCGGCGTGGGGTTGATGGCGCCCCCCCCGTCCATCGCCGCCACCGTGCTGGAGTTCATGCGCCGCCCGGCCCGCCGCGGGGCGAGGATAGTGGAGGCGATCGGGCCCCTGGCTGAGGCCCAGGTAGGCTCGGCCACTGACCGCTCCGCGCTGACCGCTCCGCGCTGACCGACCAGGCGCGGTGCAGGCGGCCCAGCGACGTCTTCTGCTCCCAGATCCACTCCGAGTAGCGCGCGGCTATGTCAACAGCGGCCATGTAGATCGGGTCCAATTGCCTGGCGCGCAGCGTCTCCAGGTGGATCGTCGCGGCTGGGGGCCCAGGCTGCGCTCCAACCATGCGTCCAGCGTGCCCGCGCATCCGAGCCAGGTCGTCGTCGGCGATGCCCGGCGCGCCCGCCCCGTGCCCCGCGCAGGGTGGCAGCCCCGTCTTCCAGAACATCGCGGCCTTCCTGCCCGTGCCCTTCTCATAGACGCAAGCCTGCCTCGGCGCCTGGTCAGCGTCGCCGGCCGCGCCCTGGCCCGCCTGCGCTCGATGCGATCGGCGCCGAGGTCGCGCCCGAGATTGCGCGCCTAGCGTTGCTCTTTTGGGCCGCGAGCTACTGCCTTCCAGCCGTCGGCCATGGCGACCTCCGTCGAGGGCGTCAGGAATCCCGATTGGCAGGCTGGGCGATGATGCCCAGCCATTTGGCGCCCTCGCAGAACCGCGCGGCTGCTGCCCGCGGCGCGTCGGAGCTGCTCGCCTTGCGGCCGACCAACTGCAGCACGGCGTTGTCGACCGCGGCCCCGGGGGCAACCCCGTGGGCCTGGCCCGCTCGAACACGCGGAAGGCGAGGGCGGACGCCGCTGCGCAGGCGTGGGCACAGCCCGCCAGGGCGCCCTGAAAGGATATCACCCCGTGCGAGATGGAGCCGAAGGCCTGGTGCCTCCGCGGCTGCCGGCGCGGCTCGATGAGCAGCCGCGCCAGGGGAAGAGGCGTCTCCTGTTCGCGCGCCCCCTGCATGGGGGCCGCTGGGATAATGGTTTCAAACAATGCCCGGGCGCCCACGAGGACCGCAAGCGCTTGCCCCCCCCGAGCTGGTCGCGACCTCCGTCTCGAGGTCGAGGTCGAATACCGCGGCGGGGGACTGGCTGCTCGCGCCGAGCCCCTAAGCCACGGCGGCGGGGTGCTCGATGGCCAACTGCTGGGAGACGCCGGCCCGCGCCATCTTGGACCGCCGCCTCACCGTCGAGTGCGCGGGCGCGATCGGGCGGCGGCCTCCTGGCGCTGTCGGGATTTGGCACGTTGCGTGCCAGGTCCTTTCCTCGGGCCACGTCCCAAAGCGCTCGATGCGCATGGGCGGCGGCCCGCGTGCGTGCGCCCCTTTTGTCGGACGAGGGGCGCGGCGCGCGCGTGCCGAGCGCGGCGGGCCCCGTCGCCGCGGGCGCGGCGAAGTTGCGCGCCGCCTCCAACAGCGTGGCCACCGTGAGCTCGGGGGGCGGGGCCCAGTCCTTGAAGGGCGCGGGCCTGGGTAGCTGCGCGAGGCCGTGGCAGTGCCGGACCTTGTCCCGCTGCCGCGTCTCGCGGTCGCAGACCAGGTGCGGGCTGGCATCCTGCTACCGCCCGGGCCAGGCTTGGAGCGCCTGCTGGAGCTCGCGCAATTTGGTGCCAATGTGCGCCTTGCCAGCGTCGTGGAGGAACGCGTCGTGCGCCCGCCGCTCTCGGGCCTGCTGTGCGACGATGGCCTGGTCGTGGATGCCGCTGGCGCGCTCGACCGCGTTGCCCGCCTGCTGGGCGAAGTCGGGCAGCGCGGAGACGCGGGCCTCCATCCCGAAGAAGCTCTGCACCCAGTCGGGCAGCAAGCGCAGCGTGCCACGGTGGTTGCCGCATATCTTGCGCAGGTACGCCTTCGCTTCTGACAGGAAGACCCCCAGCTTGTCATGCTGCGCGTCGGATAGCTCAAACAGGCTGGCGCCGCGAAGATGGCGGAGCGCTTTGGCGACGTGCGCTCCGACCCCCAGCAAGTGGCGCGCCCGCCTCGCCGCCGCGGGGCAAGCCTGGGCCCGCGGGCCGAGGCGGGCCCCGCAGCGGGGGCGGCGCCGCATAACAGCGACGAGAGCCGTCTCCAGAGCGCCAGCCCCGTCGGCGAACTTGTCCGCGGCGCGTCTCGCTTGATCGTATGTGTCCAGCAGTTACTGCTCGACAGTGGCGATGGCGCTGTTCTGGGCCGCGGGCAGCTGGGCTACCCTCTGCGCGGCGCGGGCCCTCGCCGAGGGCCTGGGCTAGTCCTCGACGACGCGGCCGCGGCCGATTGGAGGGGCGTGCCCGATTGCTTCGAGGCCCTTCGCGCCCCGCATCTGGAGCGAGAGGCCTTGGCTCTGCGCGGGCGGGCGCGGCGCCGTCGCGCCCTCGTCGAAGACCGCGGGGCGCCGCGAGCGCGGCGCCAGGCTCTTCGGGAAGTTGAAGTCGTCGACGATGGATCCCGCATTTGCGCGCGGGCGGCAGGTGGCGGCCGTCGGCGCAGCCCAGGCCCGCCCGCGTTGCGCTGCAGGTCCAGGGCGGGGCGGGGTGGGGGGGGCGAGGTCGCCATGTTGAAGTATCCGCCGACCAGCCGGTCGATGCCAGCTGCGTCGAGCTTGGCCACGTAGCGCACTAGCTCCAGGAAGATGCGCTGGTTCGTGTCGCTCAGGCCGACGCTGTCGACCAGGTGCGCCGAGGTCGCGACAGAGCCGCCGCGAGCCTGCCCTCGCACGAAGCAGGCGTGCTCATGTGCGGAGGGGCGGTGGCTGTCATGTCCGTCCGCGCAAGCCCCTCGACTCCGCCGGGCGCGCCGTCGGCGCAGGTGGGGCCGGCGGCCGCGGGCTCCGAGGGGCCCGAGCGGCCGTTGTCCCCCGTGGCGCGTTGCAGCGACGCCGTCTTCGCCTTGCCCCGCTCGCGGCGCTCCTGCGCGATAACGGCCCGCGATGCGAGGGCCCCCTCGACGCAGGCCGCCAGGGGCCCCCCCGAAGTGCTGGCGACCGCGGTGATGATGCTTTTCGCCATTGCGCCAGACCAGGCGCTGATAGGCAGCGCCATTTCGGGAAGGCTGGGAGCCCCCGCGCCTCGCCTCCTTCGTCGGAGAGCCCGACCTTTTGCAAGCGCTTCTGGAGCTGCTCGTGGGTTGCCTCGGAGGGGCCCCATGCCGGCTCGAGGGGCGCTGCCGCCGCCGGCGTTGCGGGGGCGGCGACCACGCCGTGCTGCCGACGGGCCCGCCGCCAGCGGGTGTTGCGGCAGGCGCGTCGGCGGGCGGCGACGCGCGCTCGCTTGGCGACGACCATCTCGGCGATGCGGCTGCCAGTCGCGGTGGCCAGGCGCTGCTGGGCATCCTCGTGGACCCGGTGGGCCTCGCGTAGACAAGCATCGTGTGGACGAGGCTCTGGAGCTTTCGCCTGCCGCGATGCCCGGGCCTTCGATGGGGTCGCCCACCGCGCGCCGACCAGGCTCCCGCGGCGCGGGGGCAGACGGCGCCTGCGGCTGCAGCGC